CAGTCGTAGCCGTCCTTGCACAAGGTCAGTTATCGCATCATATGAAGATATCTGAGAATTGTCCATTTGAAAGATATTTTGCTTTCAAGGTCTTTCCTTGGCGCAACTATATGGATATCCACAGCAGCCCGTTCGTCCCCAGGAGCAGCGATATACAATTCCAGAGCAGTTTGTTCGTCCACAAGCGCAGCAATACGGATTTCCACAACAGCCTCTTCGCCCTCAAGCGCAGCAGTATGGATTTCCACAACAGCCTTTTCGTCCTCAAACGCAGCCAAGTCATACCCAAGCGCAGCAGTATGGATTTCCACAACAGCCTCTTCGTCCTCAAACGCAGCCAAGTCATACCCAAGCGCAGCAGTATGGATTTCCACAACAGCCTCTTCGTCCTCAAGCGCAGCAGAATGAATTTTCAGAACAGCCTCTGCGTCCTCAAATGCAACGAAGTCGCTCCCAAGCGCAGCTTGGTTCTTCTCAACAGAATGGATATTACGCAGGGTATGTCGAGTTTATGCGACAAAATTCGCAGCTTGGTACTCTTCCGCCGCTGCGTAACAAGTCTCTTTATCAGTATCCTGTTCAACAAGCTCGTCCTAAGCAGTCGCAAGGTAGTCGCCAGGGAACGTATGCACGGCCTGGTTATGTGATTTACCCAAGGCCAGTTCCAATCTACGCTACTTACAACCGTGTGGTGTTAAGTCGTCGTCCCGTCATACGACCCGTCATACATCCCGTCGTACGCACTCTTGTCATACACCGTCGTCCCAATAATAGAATTCGCCCTGGCCGTTTTGGAGGTGTTCGATTCAGATTTTCTCATAGAAGGCGCCGTCCTCGTTAAAATAAGGCAACGTGTTTCGTGAAAATCTGATTTACTATTACTACTTTTGTGGCTTGCAGATTGCGGTCAATGAACGTGTTCACTGTGATGGAAATGGATTGAATCTTTGCGGTATTGTATGACTTTATTATCCCATTAACGTTCAAGAAGTGTCTACAGCCAAAGTTTCTTTTCAAAATGAGAATCTATCTATAAAAATCAAATCCATTGACGCTTCAGGTGCTAATGACTGATGAAGAGCAAAACAATCAACAGAACTTCTATGCATCCATATTTTAATTTGCCATAAGAATAGTGAGTTAAAGTAGCACACATGCTTTTTGGTATTGCTTTTTGGCTAAGCTTTGTTGACAATGTTTGCTTTTCTATTATGCATTTACCGGGGCGGCACCTCTACTCAAACTAAACGCAATGAGGTTCCGATGTCATGTAGTGGAGGGCCCCTAACTAAACCATCGCCATGAGTGGTCTGAGCCCGTAGCAAACTTCCTGTCGTGAAGGTCACGACGTTCACGTACTAAGTACGC